AAGAGTGTGCAAAGGGTCCGAGATGTGTCTCCGGATACTCCCGTATGGCACAAACGATGTCATAGATGAAGACGAAGACGAAGACGATGAGGATGATGAATTCGACGAGTTTCTTGGTTCCACTGGTGACTCTGATGGTTCACCCTTCACCATTGACAGGTTACCTCTACTACCTGACTAGTTTTTTTTCCCCAGTCTGCACTTCTTCATCTCTTGTCCTATGGTTCTCATCATTCATAAAGATTCTTAGATTTTGTTGATTTGATGAAAGGTGAAACTACACGAAATCGAATTTACAGTATAAATGCATATCCTTTTTTTTTTTTGTTTTGGGTGTTTTAGGAGGTTTTTCAATATTATTGAAGTTTTGTTTCTTTTTTTTTTTTGTTTTTGTAAAGATTTTTTTTTTAGTTGGGTAAGGTTATGACTTACGAGTGGATCATGTGAGAAAATGCCGACCAGACCGTGGTGGTCGGAGGTAGTTAAGTAGAGAGACCAATGAGAGTGGTCCAGGAGGCTACTCAATGAAAAGGACCGACTTATCTTAACCTATATGAAGTCTTTATTATGCTTTCTCAATCTATTTATCCTTAGTGCTGCTTTTTTCTTTTTTTTTTTTTAATTAAACTCCTTCATCATTTCATTTCAACTTACTATATATATATATATTTTTTCATTCTTTTAACCCATCCTGAATTAAAACTTAATCTTTGTCCGATTTTCTTTTCTTTCATTTAATGTTTTGTATATTAGACATTTTTTAGAGATATTTTCTTAGTTGAAATCTGCCAACATCTTTTTTAAAAAAAAAAATTATTGGGTTAATATATCTAAAAATTGTATTGTCTCCACATCATTTATTATCATTTGATTTCGTCTATTAATATTGATAACGGGTAGATTGTCAATTCATGTATTAACACTGAGTGAAATAATAAGTGATAGTATTTACAGTATATATATATATTCTATATTCTGATTTATATGTATGATAACAGAATCATAGAATCCAATTTATTACATGGATTTATTTGTATGTGTTTTGGTAAATGTTGTACGTGTAATCAGTAAGACAAAAAAAAATTGTATCCTATTGAAAAAAATGCTCCAATAGATTTCTATTACTCGTATATGTTTTTTGTTGGTTTCATATAATAATACAGAATAGCTGGAAAGCAATACATCCTATTGAAATTTCTAAGTAAAAGTGAAAAAAAAAAACTTAGAATATACTAATGGTGCGTCGTGCCGAAAAGATTATAGGAGTGGATATGTTTATTTAATCGGAAAGCCTCACCACAAAACGAATATAAATAAAAATGCAAAGCTTCATATCATTAAGCAGCAGAATTAGAAAGTGAGACCAAAAGCAATTTAAATGTATATTATAAGTTTGCGCCGGAAAATAAAAATGTAACTATAAAAAATACAAAGTCAGAAATATAAATAATATAAATTAAAAGTGGCATTTTTTAGAAGTCAACGAAGTTTGGATACGCTGGGAAACTCCGACTCATGTTGGGTCCTTCATGCTATTTTTTTTTCTCTTGCCCAATTGGAATGACAATATTTATAATGTCTTCAAATATGATATTATATTAACAATTAATATAAATATATAAATTACGATAAAAAAAAATGTATAGTAGAAACGATCAGTAAAAACGATTAAAACATCTAAAAAAATTATATGATGTTTTCGAAATTCCATATCGTATTCAAATTTTTGTAGCTCAATTTTAATAACCTATAACAGTCCACGACAATTAGGAATTTATATATGGATCTTGATCTTTTATACTTTTGAGTAGTTGGATTTGTGTTTTGAATGAATTGAAGATAGTGTCTTCATCACTTTTTTTTATTCAACCGAGAGATTGGTGGCTAATTCATCTGAGTGCACTGCCTTCTTCCTTTTTAGTTTTTTTTTTTTTTTTTTATCAAATTGTATAAAATTTATATATAAAAAATATTATAACATTTAGCCACAACCTACAGATGAATCATTGCCCCCAATGACCTTTCACTAATATCCTCCTCCCTACTTATTTGACCTTTTTTAAAATTGAAATAATCAAAGAGAAAATAAAGGCCATTAACTTTGTCCAATATATCCATTAAGTTCTTATTATTGCAAAATGAAGAAAACGTTGGAATTTGCACCCCAGATTCAGTTTTTTTTTATATCACTTTAAATTGAAAAATTGTGGAGAATAAAAATCCGATTTTTTATATTAAATTATTCTTATGGGGGGGTTTAATTTGATGATTTGATGTAAATCTAAATTATCCGTCCGATTCAAATTTAGTAGTATTTTTAAATATTCGATATAACTACAAAGTAATATGCTCTATTAAAAACTACAAAATTACATTTAATCTTCTTAAAACTATAAAATAATCTTTATTTAAAATATATATAAAATATTCGTAATATTTATTAGAAAATATAAATTTATCATTATGTTTTTTTTTGTACAAAATTCGGATTGTAACACTAGCGGATGCCACAAACATGAGATCGTTTTCAAAGTTAGTATACGAGACGGTCGCCTATTCAAAATTATTCTGATATGATTTTGATTATTGGGAAAAAAAATATATTTGAGTATAAATTATTTTTTATTTTGTTTCATTTTATCCTATATTATTGACGAGTGATCTTGTATTTAGTTAAATAAAAATATGGAAATTTAATTTCACTGCTTCAGGAAAATGTGACGTGAAGTGTGAACAGTTCGACCAATTTGAATAAAGAATTCGGACAGAGTATTCTTTGGAGTTTGGAATGTTACTTCTGTTGTTTTCACTCCGTCCATCAAATCCAACATGCTCGGTTCACTTTGACTCTGGTCAACACAAAAGGCGGCCACGTGGCGTATTTTCATTCGTTAGTTCGTTTTTCCTTTTTCCTGTCGGCATCTTTTTTTTTTCCGACTTAATACGTCTCATATGGTTGTTGTGATCATTCAAATGCACGCTTAGACACGTTTAAAACACTAAATAAATATAACTATCTATTTTATTAACCAACATTAGTCAGATGTGAAATAATTTTTAGTAAATTATATACACCTTAAATTTAAATATATGAGTTGTTAATACGTATGATTTCTGAAATCCATTAGAAATCTATTAAAATAACATATCATAAATCTATTATGCTATTTAGTACGTTGAATTTAATATATATCCGAAGTGCGTGCTCCCAATAGAAAGTGTCTTTCATGACCGCCTTGGCTCTCTCTCTCTCTCTATATATATACATATGATTATTCAATTTCATTTAGTTGTTAGAATTCTATTTTTGGTGGGACTTTCTTATTTAATAACGTAGACCTATAAAAAAAAAGTTAATATATAAATGAGATTCAAGATCTCAAAGCCAAAGCCTCTCTATATATATATATCGCCCCCCTCTCGAGCACTATGAGAATCTACACCTTATAAAACATTACTTGTACATCGACATTCACCGAATCAATACACACATTTGTATACCATGGCGAATTTCAGGATGTGGGTGTGTTTGTTATTGATCTGCGTTTTGTTATCGCGTTCTGCGTCTCGGCCGCTGCAGACGATGAACGCAAAGGCAAACGGGAAACGCGGTTTGGTAAGCGAAGCCAAGAAGGTGTTGAAGGAAAGCATGGATAAGCTCATTGGCAAAGGCTTTGATGAGCCCATGAGACTGAGTCCTGGAGGCCCTGATCCTCGCCATCACTAGTCTCCTTCCTATATATATATATATTGGCATGATATATATAGTAGCCATTTTGTACGTTTTATGATTGTGTGTTTTCAGAAAATTTTGATGAGGGAGATGTTACATGATCATATCGTATCGATTCTTGAGAGAGAACAGATTTGTGTAAACCGGTTGGTTTATGCAAAATCTCCTCTTTTGTACCACGATGTTTGTTGTCATGAAATAATCAGTCGTTGTGGTTTGTGAAAAAAAAACAAGTATATTAATACATATATATATATATATATATATATACATATAGTATATTAATGATACGTTTTTGCATGCTTTATGTTGTCACGCACGTACGTACCTAACGACTGAAAAGTGGTGGACTTGCATAATGAAAGTTTTTAAAAAAAAAAGTAAAAGAAATATTATGTAAACATGAAACTGAATAATTTAATTTATCCCATTATATTATGATATCTCGTATATACGACCGGAGAAATTAACAATGGCTAAAATCTCTCCCTCTCTCTCTCTCTCTCTCTCTCTCTCTCACACACACACACACACACACACACACACACACGAGAAAAAAGTGTGGCAGAGAATTGATCGAGGTTCAAAACAGGGTTCTGATTCAAGAACAGCTCAAATTCGACCTCTCGTCTCCTTCTTCCTCCTTTCCACTTTCCTAATTTCTTCCACGAATCGAGCCCTGGAATCACGAACTACGAAACCCAGGTCTTGTTTCTTCCATTTTCTTGTTTTATTTTTGGTACGAGAGCCATGAAAGTGTCAACTCAGCCTCTTCACGAGTTTCTGCAGCTCGTGTTCTGCAATTTCTAATGTGGACATGCCCTCTTTTTGTTTACTCTTACAGGTGCGATGTTGTTATCGTATTGATTGAGAAATCGGTTCATTATTGATTTCAAACTTCGTATCTTTAGAGATTTTGGGTCTGAATCCATCCGTATACATATGCAGATATCAGAGACAGTTTGCTTGTAACGCAAGAAACTAGAAACTGCAACGAAACGAGAAACTTCAAAGATCTGTAGGCAGAGGGTATCTGCAAAATCTCTCCTTCTTCATACACAGAAAGAATCTCTCGTAAGCCGAAGCCATTTTCGTCGCTGTGAACGTCGAAACCACGTGTTCCCTGCACGCCTTTCCCTTCATCTCCAAAACCCTAATCCCGTCTCCGACGACCGAATCCAATGCCTTTACAAGAGATCTCACGTTTGGAGAAAACGTATACCCGAAGCTCTCGTTCGCTACAACAGTCCCGACAATGCTCGGATAATTAGGCGTCACCACGGGTTTCCCACACTGCATTGCTTCTATCAGTGTCAGGTCAAGTCCCTGAAATCAAATTTAAATATTAGGATAATCTTATAAAACATATCATCACGTAATTACCACGTTGATTTTACAATAGAATATTAACTGTATATTTATACCTGAGGCCTTAGAGTCGGATTCACGAAAACATCGAGAGCGTTGTAGAAATCAGAAAGCTCTTCGGGTTCTAAAGCTCCCAAGACCTTAACGTTTTCGCCTAAATCTTCATACCTTTTTCCCCAGGGACCCGAACCCGCGACCAGAAGATAGACTTTTGGGTATCGTTTCGAGATCAACGAGAAGGCTTCGTATAGAAGCGGATGCCCTTTATCCCTCACTAATCTTCCAGACACTCCCATCACTAAGTTACCCTTCTCATCAGGAACTCCATGTTTTTTCCTGAATCTTTCTCCAGCTTCAGGAGAATGCACAAATTTCGTTTCGTCGACGCCGTTGAGAATGACGTGGACGTTTTCACGAGGAAGTTGATAGATGTTAACCAAGATCTCTCCTGCGCTTTTGCTAATGCAGATATGGTGTTTGTAGCTCGGGAAGAAGCTGATCTCATCGACAAGTCTCGGGATCGCTTCTCGGAGATCAGAACCCGAGATTTTTGGGGAATTCTTGCCCCATAAAAGCTCTTGGAACAGCTTGGAGTGTATGATCTCGTACCATATCCCATGCCATGTCACAGCAACATCTCCATTGCGCACCATCTTTGCTCGCCAATGAGGAAGGGCGACACTCTCCGTGTGAACATAATCGAAGAGTTTCTCATCGTTGATTCTGTTGAAGATCTCGAAAGCTAATGAGCAGTTCAGAGATCCATGATCGTTTGGGACGAAGTGGATACGGAGATTCCCGTTATCTCGAAGCTCACTATAGCTGTTTCTTGCGTCGGAAGAAACCGTGAAAACATGAATCTCGTGGCCTCTCGAGGCGAGAGAAGTGTAGAGAGTGAACGCATGACGCTCCATCCCTCCCGGGATCGAACCGATAGGCCATGATTTGCAGAAAACCGCGAGCCTTAGCTTCTCCGAAATGGGTCCAAAGGAGAGTTTGTTCCAAGGAAATGCCAAGTCTCGAAGATCTCCGGTGAACGGAAAATTTTCCGGCGATGAAGTCTCCGGCGACAGTTTGAACCGGGAGAAGAAGACACAGTAATAAGGACAGAAGAAGATAACTAAGGTTAAGATCGCAGAGAACTTGATTGAGAGTGAAGTCGAAGAAGAAGAAATTCTTGAAGAATGATGCCTAAAGGCCATTTCTTTTGTCATGTTATGGTTTCAATAATTGAAAGTTGATTATTTATTTTAATTATATTATTAATTTTTTGCCATAGAAATCGGATCTCCTCGATCTTAGGTTTCATTTTTCAATGGATTGCACATGGCTTTGTTAAATGAATGCTATGGAATATGTTAAATTTAAATATAGTTAGCATTTAATATTATATTAATACCATATTCTTTGAGATGTAGAAGAAATGTGTTCATTAGTTGATATCAGATCCCGTCCATCATCTTCATTGAAATCCATAAAATTTTAATTGTTTTACATAAAAAGTTATAAAGTGTCCCGACATTTTTTTAAATCGACAAATGTTTATTTTCCATCCTTCTAATCTTAAAAAAAAAAGATTAATGTTACTATTTTTTCACGCGTTTGATTAATCAAACGAAAAATGTTAAGCTTTTTTTAAAAAAAAGATTTTTAGTAAAATATTTTATTAAAATCTAAATAGATCAAAGTTTATAGATCAAATGAACGTTGAAATAATTCCTTTGACTTTTTTAGTAAATTTAGGTGATTTTATAAACTTTTTTTGGCAGGTTTACATTGTGAAAGAAAATCAAATATGGATAAAAATAATTAAAGAGCAGACGACAAAAAGGAAACGAAAATAAGACAAAACCAAAACAAAGGGTTGGTTTAATGTCCGGTCTGGTTTAATAGTCAGAGACGCGCCTGAAGAAATTGTATAATCGCATTACACTTGTGTTCTCTTCCTAATTCTGTGGGATGTGCTAAAGCGCGTGTGCCTACGCCTCTCTTCTAGCGTCGCTGCGACTCGCCCTTTTGCTTCTAGGGTTTCTTCTCTGTCGATTCCTTGATCAATCAAGAACCCTAACCCCTCTCTGTTCCTTCGTTTTCCTTATCACGTTGCTTCTACCAAAAACCCTATATAAAACCCTAGATTCGTGTCCCACGCTTAATTTTTCGGGATGGCTTCTGGTCCATTACAAGGTGTCGGAGCTTCGAAACCGAAGCATAGATGGACCGCGAGCGGCAACAAAAGCCAGAGTCGGCCGAAGCCCGCAATGGCGTCGAGACAGGAACGGCCGGTTCCACCTGTTTCTCCGACCAATTCTATTGCATCGGAGGATGATCACCACATGGTGAATATAAGTTTAAATTCGATTTCGAAGCTCGAAGTTAGGAACTTGAAGAGGAAATTGAAAGCTGAGCTGGATGAAGTTCGGAGCTTGATCAAACGGCTCGAGCCCCGTGAAAATGTCTCCGGAGGTCTCGGGGACATGCCCAGAGCTGATGCTAAGAAGATGAAGGCCGGCAATGGCGGTAAGAAGGGTGGGTTTGGTACGGACAAAGGTATGGTTCAGATTCTCAAGAACTGCAACAATTTGCTTACAAAATTGATGAAGCATAAGTTTGGTTGGGTTTTCAATGCACCTGTGGATGTGAAGGGGCTTGGTTTGCATGATTATCACACCGTTGTTAAGAAACCTATGGATTTGGGTACTGTGAAGACTAGGTTGGGCAAAAACTGGTATAAATCGCCATTGGAGTTCGCCGAGGATGTGAGACTTACCTTTAACAATGCAATGTTGTATAACCCCAAGGGCCACGAGGTGCATCACATGGCCGAGCATTTGTTGAAAATGTTAGAAGAGAAGTGGGTTTCCATTGAATCACAGTATGATATTCTTAATCGGAGTCGTAAACCTACCCGTGGTTTTGAGTTTCCTGTTCCTGTTTCAACAAACACTCCTGTCGTGGATCCATTACCTGCTCCGACTCCTTCCCCGTCTCCTCCACGGGTTGTCGAGAATTGGACATTGGAGAGAGCAGAATCTATGACGACACCTGTGGAACATGAAACAGTCACTATGGTCTCTGAGAAGCCAGAAGAGGAACAACAAGACAGAGAAGAAGAGGAGAGAGAAGAAGAGGATGACGAAGAAGCTCCCGGTACGAGGGACCTGACATTTGAAGAGAAACGGAGACTCAGTGAAGACCTTCAGGACTTGCCCTTTGACAGACTAGAGACTGTTGTTCAGATTATAAAAAAGAGGAATCCCGAACTCTCTCAGCAAGATGACGAGATCGAGCTGGATATCGATAGTGTTGATCTCGAAACACTTTGGGAGCTTCACAGATTCGTGACAGAGTACAAGGAGAGCTTGAACAAGAAAAAAGAGGATCATGGTTTTGGTTCAGAAAGAGACGCCGAATCGGTTCACAATATTAATCAGGAACTGGTGAGAGCCCGAATGACTGTTGGTTAGTTACGTCAATTGCTTAATTCGGTGATTAATATCATCTTTCTCTTTTTGCATTCACAGAGTGTCGTAGCAACTGGTACTGGGACATCGAGAGTTACTGAATCAGGTGAGATTCAGTTTGATAAATCATGTCGGTTTCGGTTCGATGATCGTGTATCTAGATATATTGTTACCCAAAAGAACCAAAATCAATAATTCTTCTTTACTTTAAAAGCAGGCAGAGCAACACCACCTACGAGATCTCCCGTTCAACGAGAAAACAACCTTAGTGGATCGAGTAGTTCTAACAGTTCAAGTAGTGACTCGGGTTCTTGTTCTAGTGGTAAGCATGGAAAATGCTTTCCATTCTCGCCTTTTGGGCATTACATTCCGGAATTAAAGCCGAGCCTATACCCATGTTTTTTTTGTGTGCAGATTCAGACAGTGACAGCTCCTCAGGACATGGATCTGATAAGGGGTAATTAGCCAATAACATGTGAAAGTGCTTATAGCTTAGGTGAGAGCCATCATGTTGTTGATTTCAATGTGCATCTCTATCAATAGCACAATTAGATTTGCTTGCTAAGTCATGCCTTTTGTATCACACTCCATCGGATTATTTCTGGTTTTAGGTCTTTTAACTGTACAGAAAAAGATGAACAATTTAGGTAACTCGCGTCCTGCTTATATCATTAAATGAACAGCCTTGTTCTTTTCTTAAAAACCTCTGTGGCCTCCATAGCTGCCATCCACTCTGTGGCCATCGCTTGAGATAAAAGAGGAAAAGTAAATTTTATTACAGCAACAAGGCTACTAGAAAATATGACTGGCGAGGGACTGAGTACTGGTCCGACCGTAAGAATCTGATCTTTGGATTTGGTGGCTACGTGTAAAACAGCCACTTGACTGATGCTTGCATCTAAAGCTGTTGGTTCATTGAACGATCATTATGGATTCGTTTGTCCAGCATCAAGGACAAAAGCTAGAAACGTACGACAGCTAATGGTCGATTCATCGGCTCCTGGTTTTAGATGTCGGTCCAGACTTCTTTAGGTCGCGGAGTTCTAACCCTCTCCCGGGCCACACGCTGATCAGTATTCTTATGCTAGGATCTTCGATGCAGATCCTAGATGACGTCAAGATCGAAGTTTTTGAGCTATATCATAATCAGTGTTTGTATCTGTTGAAAATACATGTGAACAGAGCTGCAATGTCTTAAGAGGGACTGTCTCACCCGTTTTACACAGGGAAGAGCTGCCCTTACCTGGACAACAAAACACTTCGAGGCCTGGTTCTTGTTACCAGGTCTGGAGATGGAAACCGAGCTCTCGTGTGACCTAATGAAACTCAAGGAGTGATATATCGGTACCTGTTTCAGGTTTGAGGCTCTGAAACTTGTCCAAAGAAATCAGGAGCTGGGAATGGGAACCAGGCAGGGACAGGAACTGTCCAACGAGTTATATCCTACGGACAAAATCCGTCATAACTGAGGCACATGATCAAACCTTGGAGATGTTATGCAGATAGTTAAAGAGTGAATGTACGCCACATTCTTGAACATTATCCAATTGTCAGAATACAGGAAAAGACGGTCATACCATACCACCACCGTTTACGGGGAACGAACGAAAAGGGAGGAAATTTGACCAGGATCATGGAAAAGGGTTTTAACAAATTTGACCATTGAGAAAAAAAAATCGAGTGCCTGAGAGGGTAGATGGTTCTTTACATTGTGTAATAATAATAATAATAAAAAAATCTACAACAGCTGCCAGTCCGAATCTTCTTCTGGTGCAGGCGGTCTCTTGGTATTGTCAAGATCAGACCCCATGGATGCATCCCCAAACCAAATCGCGATCCTTTCATACTCTTTCTCTCTCTGTCTTTTTGGGGCTAAAGCATCCGCAATCTTCTTCTGTCAGAAAGATAAACAAGACATAATTTAGAACCCAAGTCTGATACTTCTCAGAACAATCTGTGACAAGAAAGTGTAGATTCTGGACAGCAGACACAAACACACATCTGAGAGAGAGAGGAAACCTTGAATGATCTGAGTTTTCTCGTCCTATGATGCACCGCGTAAAGCGCAGCGTCGTCAACGGCTGAGAGTTCTTCTCGGTCTGCCATGTCGTACAATTCGATTGTTTCCAATGGAGCAGCATCATTCTCATCATCACCGAAATCCTGATTACCTGCACATTAGATAGATTTTGCTCAGTTCAAAACTACAAACAAAGAAAAATGTACAGAAGATGATCTACTAAAAAACTTATCTGCCACAAATCTCACATTAGAAAACATAACTAAGATTATATATAAAGGACATGGCATTCAACTCATGAACTGAGACAACCGAATTTTCTAGCGGGCAAGATAAAAACCATAGCTTGACAAATGCAATGAGCAGAATTAAAGTTCAGAACGAGATTAAGGGAGACACCAACCAATCGAAATTATGGGTCTCTTCTTCACCATATCTTCTATAACAATAACAGCAGGAGCCTCTGTGACAACTTGGACTAGATTTGAATCAATCAAAGTATGCCCAGATGAGCATACGGTATCAGAATCATTACGTGGTACTTCTGTCCTAACTCTCCCCGAAGAACTGCATATTAGTTGAGCTTCTGTAGAAGAACTATTGCTCTGACTATCATCAGAGACTCTTCTATCTATGTCTTGTAAAGACGCTGGCCTTGCGAGGCAAAGAGAAGTTACCCCCGTCTCATTGTTATTACCAATCGATGGAACTCTCGGGCGTGTTTCTTCGTCACTCAACACTGCTTCTGATAGCTTCTCATTTGAACCGTTTCCATCAACTCGTTCATCCGAAAAGGTGCATTTCGAAATCTCCAAGTTTTCATCTGAAGGGTCACTGCAACTTGGTAAAGTAAGATCACCATGGCATTGCTGCATATCAACAGCACCAGAAGAACAATTCTCCGAGTCTTCCTTTGGTTCATCACTAACAAATCCTAAGCCTTGATCATCAACAGGCACTCTGATACAAGTCTGCGCAAGAACAGCATCTAACTGATGTAATAAAAGGAAATGCAGACGAACTCATAGAGAAAGTAAGATCACAAGCGAAAACCAGAAACCGGCAAGAAGTACCTGAGCAGCAAAATTATCCACCTCCACAAATACAGCTTCTAATTTCTGGTAAATATGACCAAACCATGCTATTCCTTTCGATTCTTTATCCATGGCTCCAACAAGGGCTATTATTACACTGCAATCACCATTTTTTTTTTCAAAGCTTGATCAAATAGGAAAATTTCCAATTAGGATTCCGTCTCGAACAGTTCAAACAATCGAAAAGGAACAAAATAGTTTTGCACTTTGAGGTTTGATTGTGTTAAAAAACAAAAAAAGGGAAGAACTTTTACCGACGAAGAGATCTGAAAGACTTGAAAGATCAATTGCTTGGTCCGAGAAACAGGAATTGACTTCAACAATCCAAATTTATGTATATATAAAAAAAAAACAATTCTTGGGTTCTGTATTCAAACCACGAAAACAACAAGAAACTCGCACATGAATCGGAGAAAAAAGGCACAGGATTGCATGAACAGAAATCGAGTTTTGGAGAGAAATCACAGAACAAGAGGAGAAAAGAAACCCCCCAAAACCCAAATTAAGCAGTAGCAGCAGTACCAGAGGAGGAGACCGGCCGAAGAACGACGTAATGATAAAGCAGAATCTCCAACAGCTTTATATGATTTTATCTATATATACATATACGGCACGTACGATTTTATCTATTAAGGAAAAAGTTTTAAAGCTTTTGTAATTACCAATCAATAATCAACATCTAATTACGAGTTGTAAAAAAGTCTTAGAAACGTTGGGCCTGAGTATGACCTCTTCATCAGGCCCAATATAAAATCAATAGGCCCATATACGACAGCAAGGAATGTGATTATGACATGATCACAAGTATTCCTTTTTTTTTTAAACTTTCCTATCCAATGGATCTGAATCATTTAACCCATTGAAAATCCAACACTAATTTCACAAATTTACCCCAGTAAAAAAGACTAGAAAAATCTACCTGGGTAAATAAAAACAACAAATGACACCTAATTTTTCTTTCTTTTTTACCATTTAAGAACTAAAACAACAACAAAAGTTACATGCAAGAAAACTCATCAACGTCCCAAAAGTTACTTACCTAAAGTAATGAATGCTCTTTCCGTCGTTAACCGAATGAGCCGCGGCACTTCTCGTATCTACACAGACACTTCCTTCGACCCCCGGCCCCGCCCCCACGTGAAACCCCATAATCGTACGTCAACTCCGTCATCGGAGGAATGTGTCGAACGGCAAAAAAAGCGATGTGGATGAATGATTTCCGGTTGCGTTCATAAACCATCGGCTGCCATAAAACATTAGGGCAACAACTGTGGTTCATGAACCGGGCAATGTTTCCGGAATTCTTGGCACTGATGACGAGCGGCGATGGAAGATCAAACTCCTCCGGAGTTTCCTCTGAAGCATACTCCACTAGTTCAGGTTCACAATTCCACCTGAAAGAGTTATAAACACGAGACGTATCAAACATATATTCATCTCCTTTGTCTTCCTCCCTTAGCCCGTCATTGTCTTTGACTTCACCGGCGTATTCGCAAATGAAAGAACCAGCACGGATAGGATCCCAGGAACGAAGGCCCCAACCACGATCTTCCGTCTTAAACATTTCAGTGCAGAGTTTCAATCCCGTCTGGATAACCTTGTTTTTGCAACTGATATGACATGGACAGGTCGGACCACATTCATATATCATCGGCCTCCGAGATACAAGGATCCCATTGGCATAAGGGAGATCACCCCAATTTCGTTGGATGCACGAGCAATTAAGATTTCCTGGTGCACATGAGTTACGACAGGTGCACTCAACTGCAGGCTGAGTCGTTTTGAAGAATTCTGAGTACCTTAAGGTTGGGATATAAGTGAAATAAGCAGGCCGCTTCTCGTCATCAACGCTGTTCACAAGTGAGACAGGCACACTCTCGGCTCCGGACGTGAGATCGGGAAGGATAAGCCCAGTCCTCGTAGTCAGACCGTCCCTCCACTTCTGAACTGATTTCCAGACAGCAAAAGTAGAAAGCTGCCCCGGTTGCCTCACCAATTTATATTTGAATGTGTTGCAGCCAGATTTCCCCTTCTCTACCCAAGATTCTCTGATCGACAAAAGTCCGTCATATATATAGATCTTTGTAGTTTGACAATTCACATCTCTGACTCCTCGTATGACTCTTACAACATTGTCATTCTTTAAGCTTCTCTCTAAAGCGAGATTGCCTCTTTCAAGCTTCTGATCAGATGCTTGCCCGTTTTTGTCTGCATTGCCATCTTGCCCCACTGTAAATCAAACAGTCAGGATCCTCGGCATCATCACCATAATGTCCGGATGAAACAATGCTGGTTGCAAAAGTATCTTCTTCAGCCCCACCCTTAACAATCGTATAGTCAATGCCGGCCATGGTCTGGAAATGAAGTCCCACCAAACACATCTCTATCCGGAAATAGAAGATATCGCCCACCTCAACTCCAGGAACAGCCCCCACTCTCTTTTTCATATTTGTGCGGGAACCCTCTGCTCATCAAAACACCTGCCGCTTTAAAAGTCGCGCGCTTTGCATCTAATAATTGGCTAAGCCGCCTCTTGACTGCGTCAAACCGCATCAATAACTAAGAACTGTTTCCCTATTTCCATCTTCTTGTTCTGCTATGCTGATCCCACTGTCAAAATTCCGATTAGAACTTTCCTCCTGCCTACCAGAAGCCGAATTAGGCTCTTTGTTAACGGTCTTCTCCTTCTTCTTCAGATTAGTTGAGCCCTTTGGACGACCAGGTCCTCTTTTAGAGCCACTAAGGCCACTTGAGCTGCTAGGGCCACCAGAGCTGCTCGGGCCATTGGATACTGCAGGTGCTCTAAATGATCGAAGAGGTGGAATAGATGAAGGAGGTGGTGTGTTCTCAGTCTGATTGAGATCGGGAGTATCTTGCGACGGTTTGGGTGCTCCAAATGGGAAAAAAGGTGAAAACCCAGAAGGAAAAGAGCCGAAAGGCGGACCACACACAAAGGGAGGACCTTGATTAGCATTTGGAAAGATAGGTTTCAATGTCCGAAGTGGCTTCACATCCAGCACCCTCGACTTGTCAATATGGTTAGAATTCGGGACAGTATTGACCCCTTGACCTCTTTCCATGGGAAACTATCCTGTCAACGCAACAAACAAACAAAAAGTTCTCAAATTAGTGATCACGACGAAGCTTCGATTAGCATGAAAATATTTTCATCCCACTTGCCTGTTTCGCAAGCTATGGAATATGATAAATGTCTAAAAGTAGCACCATTTACTGAATCATGGCTCTCCGAAACACCTCGTGTAGTCTCCTCATCCTGCAGCAACAAAAGTTACAGTTGAGACAGCATTAGTAACACTCTGGAAATCCTACAGAGATAATGTCAGCAATCGAATTCACATACTCTTCAAGCCGGTCTCTTGAAAGCCATTCACAATAATACATTGGAAAATCGATCCTTTTCATTCCAATTGTTAAGTCTTGGTCACCCATCAATGGAAATTAAAGAAAAGGCACGTAAATGAACCCTAAAAAGAGAAACTATAACCCACCAGATCTCGAGTTCTTATGTCAATAAAGCAAATCTCTTCCTTTTACATCAAGATGGAAACTTTTCGCCTCGGTTCGCAAAGCATCAAACCTAACACAAACCCTAAACCAAGAACCACGAAAAAATACTAAGTATCAGCTTCCTCAGACAAAAACAAAAACATGATCGAATCAAAAGCAATACAAGTACTTCAAAAGGCAGCAAAAACAAAAAATATGATCAAATCAAAAGCCTCGATTCCAAATGGGTAAACAAGAATTAGGGTTCCAGGAAATCGGGAATTCGGATCATGACGTACCTGAATACAAATGGGTAAACAAGAATTAGGGTTCCAGGAAATCGAGAAGCGCGAGAGAGCGAGGGGAGGGAAATGATGAAACAACAGAGATGGTTTTCCCGGGAGCGCTAGCAAGTAGCAACGTGCTCTTACGCTTTTATAAAGCACCTGACCGACGCCTGCTGACATTGCTGACATAAGCAAGACGTGTCGGAATAACCACCACCGTTGGATAGTACAATCATAATCTCCACCGTCCATTATGCTATTAGAGAGATTTTTAATCCTATGGATTTGTTTCCTTTCTCTTCCAATCATTTATTTACCTACTATGTAGCAATTTTACATTTATGATTTTGCCAAAACTAGAAAAACACAATTAGAAACCCTAAAGGATATCTGTTATTTTTTGTATTAAAAATATTTTTTTAGTTGATATTATATTAAATATTTTAGAGAACCATTTGCTGTTAAGACCATATAGCAATGAACTACTTGGTGCGAAAATTATATGATAAACTTCTTAATAAGTTTTAAATATAAACAATTATATACATATATTTGTGAGATAAAATATTGATAACCAGTAGACTACCTCATATTTTTTTATATATTAACTTATTTTATGTTTTAAAAAATACTATCTTTTAAAATCTTAGATTTGTAACAAAGCAATTATATATGTAAAAACTATATTTCTTTCATCGTGTCATAATAAAATTCAACGTCTATCTACGAATAATTAGGACGTAAAATAGTTTACCATATCAAAAAATGAGTATAATAAAAAAATTTACATATTTGATGATGTTACCATATTAATTGTTTGAGGCCATTATGGAATATTTCCTTTCTTTGGGGTTCTTAATGCAATTTATAGTTTTTTGTTTGGACTGTCTATGAATAGATTGGCCCAAGCCCGTTTAAATTCCGTAGGGA